TCTTAAATCTTAAAACAAATAGAATATTAATGCATAAATGTAGTTAAGTAGTTAGGTAAGTATGTGTCCGTCTTTTCCTGATCTGAAATGTTTTTGTAACCACTTTTCTTTCTGGGTATAATTTGATATATATATATATATATATATATATATATATATATATATATATATACCAGCACAATTGTAGACACAATGAAATATCTGAATAATGCAATAAATAACAGTTAATGAATAGTTAATAACAATAAGAATTACTGACTTATCATTCTTATTAGCTACTCCATATGATCGGTATCAATCACTTTAGAAGCTTTTGATTATTATCCTGCTAAAACAGCATATATTAGACATTATTAGTAACACTCACATAATTGTGCAGTAATTAGCAATGAATATGACTGCTAAAGAGTAATCATTCATAATTGATTTTTATTTGTTTGGAATGAAAGAAATGCATAAAACTTTACAAGTAAACCTAACTTATTTCTAAATTCATTTGGTGTTGTTTTACTTGTATCTTCCCATTGTTATTTAGGACTGCAATTGATCAGTCACATGTTGGTATATGTGCATCTTGTGAGGATTGCCTCGATATAGCCTTAAGTCACAAGCTTTCTGTTTCGTTAGGGAATGGTTTTACTAGTTCCACATTTAAACCAGTTAAAATGAATATACCTGAATTCAGTCTTTTGGTTGTTAAAACATTCCAAAAAATAAACATTTGGATATATTTGATTTTCATTTATTCATCAATTAAAATTTCGTTGCTTATACATAAGAACACTTTTTTCTGTATAATATCAATTTAGATCTATCGGAAATATTCAACATTTCCTAAGTTACATATAAAAATTCACAAAACCAGTCATTATTTACTTTGATTTGTATCATGAATCAATTTATTGATATTGATGTTATGATAATAAAATTGATTTATTTATACGGAAAGTATTCAAAATAGTAAAATATGCATTGACATTCATAACATAAAATATCCAGAAGAAATTATGATAACTTAATGAAAGATGTTCATTTGAATCAACGTCATCAATTTGATCTTCTCAGTAAAACAGCTATGTGCATTTTCAGTGCACTTACTTACTTACTTACTTACGCCTATTACTCCCAATGGAACAAAGGCCACTGATCAGCATTCTCCAACTCACTCTGTCATGGGCCTTCCTTTCTAGTTCCATCCAATTGTTATTCATTTTTCTCATGTCTATCTGCATTTCTCGGCATAATGTGTTGTTTGGTCTTCCTCTTTTCCTTTGACCTCGAGGATTCCATGTGAGTGTTTGTCTTGTGACACAGTTGGGTGCTTTCCTCAATGTATGTTCTATCCACTTCCACAGCTTTTTTCTTCATTTCTTCCTCCACTGGGATCTGGTTTGTTGTCTCCCATAGTAGATTGATGTTGATAGTGTCTGGCCAATATATCTTAAGTATTTCGCGTTGACAGCTGTTGATAAACACGTATCTTCTGGATGATGGCTTTCGTAGTTCTCCAAGTTTCCACCTCCTACATTAGAACTGTTTTGACATTTGTATTGAAAATTGTGACACTGGTGTTGGTTGAGAGTTGTTTTGAGTTCCAGATGTAAATATGCTGCTCTTGCTTTGCCGATCCACGCCTCTACATCAGCATCAGATCTACCGTGTTCATCAATGATGCTGCCCAGATATTTAAAAATGTTTACATCTTCCAAAGCTTCTCCGTCAAGTGTGATTCGACTGCTGCATGCTGTGTTGTATCAGAGAATCTTGCTTTTCTCTTTGTGTGTTTTGAGACCTACTGCTGCTGCTACACTGGTCGTCTTTTCCTGAATTTGTTGTTGCGCGCGCGATAGAAGGGCCAGATCATCTGCAAAGTCTAGGTCGTCCAGCTGCATCTTAGCTGTCCACTGTATCCCATGCTTCCCACCAGATGTTGACGTCTTCATGATTCAGTCTATCATCAGGAGAAAATTTATCTTTTGTAACTCTATAATTATAAACCGTTAACTTACCAGCGAAAAACATGAAACAATGGATTTTTTTCTGTTTCCAACGTTTACTCCACCTGTACATAAAAATTCAACATCTGGATTGAAGAATCTTGAAGAAAAAAATTAAATGATTTACTTATGAAAGGGTAGTTGAAATTTACATCACAAAACGACCTTATTTAAACGACCACTGAAAACCAGAAAACACTTTTAGAGTTACCTAGTCTTTCTATGGGATTTTTTACAGATATAAAACCTTGACTCACCTGGGAATCAAACTCAGGAACTTTAAACCTCCAGGTGAACGCTTATTCCATATTTTACATTTCTAACTTTATTCAAGGTCATTCTGTGATATAAAATCCAAATACTTTCACAAATCTTGCGTGCATGGATCGTGAATGTACACCGTTGAGGAGTATGAGACAGCCGTTTAGAGTCTCCAGATTTACAATCGTGGTGTAACTTAGATTGGTTCACGATGTCAATCAAATTCAATAGTTAAATATTTTATTTTGACACTAAATTTTATGGGCACAGTTTACTAAACAAGCTTTTGTAAATCGAGAACAATCAGCATAATGGAATGAAGTGAATTCATTCCATTTCATATCCTTTACATTTTTCACAGATGTAAACATTTTTTTAGTTTCATCAATCAAATCAAACCTTCATTCATAACAAAAACCTTTTTAGTCTCATTATTGACACTCCTTTATTGTAATCAATGAGTGAATCAGATTATAAAATTATTTTTGTCATAAGATGATATTCACAAGAGAATTATTAAAAACTTAAGCGAATATTGGATAGCTATTTTTTTCTAACTTCGGACTTCTTAACAGTACATAGAGTCGAATTTAAAACCTTCTGATCTTGCGTTGATCATGATTGATTGTATGATTTCCCTATGGATGACTGTATTATGAACTCTGTCTCACTTATTTTGCACCTACATAACATGAATGTAGAAACCACCACTGATTACTTATACCACTCAAGATAAGATTTGTGGGTCTGTGGAAAGGCTAGAATATACCCGATGAAATGAATTCACTTTGTTACTCTTTTTTTCTCCTAATTTACTTAATGATTGGTTATTGTTAATTTGGTCAGTATAAATGCTTTAAAAGAAAATATCAAACACTGTTACAGTCACACTTATTTTAAATTCACTTGACTTATCCAGATCACAAATACGAAGAAAACAACAGTAAAAGTTGCTATTAAACTCAAATAGCTACTTGAAAACTAAAAGATGAGTTATATGGTGTACACATAATCGCTTCATATTGGCTTTGTTGACCGATTTATAAAATGATACTTGAGAAAAAATGTAATAAAATTAGGCTTACTATTATGCGATTTAAGTAGTTAAACTACTTACGTGTTTCGATAGATTCCTCAAGTTCGAGTAAATGGTATAACATATGAAAATCTCCGTTCCATTAAATGTCATTACATGAATTTAACAGCTACTAAGTGTTTTGCTTTTTCGAGTAGGGTTCTACGGCTAGTTTGACTTACAAACTAACTCTCTGAAACTATCCAAAATGTTACCAATTATTTAAAATTATTAATGATACATAAAATCAAAGCAAATAATAGTAGTGGTCACATTTATACAGTTTCAATGTTTAACAATGTATTCGGCTTTTAAATAAAACGATTTAAAATGAGATACATGTTTGTCAAACAAAACAAATTCAGTGAAGTATTAAATGACTTCCATGCATAATAAAAATAAGCTACATATTCTATTGTTTTGTTCAATACTTACTGTTTAGATTCAGTATTTTGTCATTCAGGGTGAAAAGAAAAACTGTCTATCGTTCGAGAATTTGAGTGTTAATGTTTGTTCATTATTCGATTGCGACATTTAAACAAAACATTTTCTATAAAAAAATTGGTTGAGCTACGCAAAACTTTCATCTTTCCGTTTAATAAGTCCTTTTGTGGTGTGTTCTACTTATATCGATAAAAGTAGTACATGACTCTAGTTAGGAATAGAATGTCTGGCAGCAGATGTTCGAAAAGATCGAGAAGAAAAGAACGGGAACAGAAAGCAATTGGTATGGAAATACCGGAATAATGAAGTCTGAGACAATTAATGAAGTATTTATTGTATGGTTCGCAAATTTTACTTAGATATTCTGTAATATCGTACTGGAATACATTCGATTGTCTCCACTTGTGTTCTCGTTCACTACACTTTTTCCTACTAATTTAAACTATCTAGACGGAAGTAGTTAGTTAGTTCCTTAAAGTACAATTTCTTAAACTGTTCAACAATGTTTGACGAAATAAATTGTTATGGTAGATAAGTATTTCCTAATGATGATTATGCGATTGCCTACATGAATTCACGTGATTCATCAGGGTGTCGATGAATCGTAGAAACCAAGTATTAATGTCAAATCTACAGTTGTCTACATATTGAAATACAAGTATTTTTCTTATTAAGATTATACTTTTACTTAATAGAACACACACATTAGTCTTTAAGAATCCCGCGAGGTAAGGTCTTAGATGAGCACTACTAAGGAGTCCCACAATAGAACGAAACGGTCATCCAGTGCTTCAAGGTTTTTCATGGTGATCTAGCTTTAATTGACTCATGATCTCAACTATTGAATTGATATTCTTTAGTCATTGAATATTTACAAAGTTTAGAAACTAAATATTTCTATCGATTTACGGTTTGTGATAAGATATTTAAATTCCTAATGAAATCTGAAATATTCAGTCATAATCACAAAATAGTAAGTACAATTTCTTTTAAACTGATGAAACAATATAAATTTAAAAAATATATCATTTTCAGTATAACATTAGTTAGACTTTTTCAAGTATATACTGATGACGTCATATAACGAGGCAACAAATCATAATATTAGCTTGTAATTGCTTTTATGTCTACTTTCTATTTACTTCTTTGTATGACAATTTATCGTTTTTTCCTATTTTTCTTTTTTTTTTTAACTTTTTTTCTCTTTTTTTTTTAAAACTCAGTTCCACACAAATATTAAGTAATCTGGAATCTTCAATTGAACAAAATTCAATTTTTACAGAGAATCCATTGTCAACTACAAAAATTAATCATGAAAATGATAATATGAATAATCAAAATGTTGAATTAAATGAGATAATTAAAAGACAAATTAATGAATTTCAGAAAGATAGTACAGTGATGCAAATCAATGAAACTAGAATAGATTCACTTCCTTCTTGTAATAATAGTAATAATAATAATAATGGTGATGATGACGATGAAGATAGTTCAACTAGTCGTTATAGTACTGCAGAATCATCACCATGTGAAGACTTTGAACCAAATATTAATAAAATTAATCAAATAAACAACCATAATATTATTAATCAAAATAACAAAATTATTGGAGAAAAAATCGACAAACTAGAACAAAATAAAAATATAAAAGGAAAATTAACAAATTCAACAATGAATAATCAAAGTGTAGCATTAGAATTTCGAACAATTGTTCAACGAGATGAATATGGTTATGGATTTCGAGTTTGTGGAAATAAACCAGTATCGGTACATAATGTTCGGAAAGGTAATATGGTTTTATATATCTGTATAATAATTTTACATATCGTCGTATATGTACACGTAAACTTTGAATAAAAATATGTTCTTACTTACTTACTCACTTACTTACGCCTGTTACTCCTCGTGGAGTATAATGGGCCGCTCACCAGCACTCCCCATTTAACCCTGTCCTGGGCAATACTTTCCAGCTCTTTCTAGTTTTTATTCATCCTTTTCATATCTACCTCTACTTTCCGACGTAATGTGTTCTTTGGCCTTCTTCTTTTTCGCTTCCATTCTGGATTACAGGTTACAGCTTGTCTTGTGATGCAGTTTGATGATTTCCTAAATGTATGTTCTATCCATTTCCTTTCTTAATTTCCTCGTTAGTTGTAAGCTGGTTTGTTCTCTCCCAAAGTAGACTTACTGATGGTATCCGGCCAATCAGTGTTGAGTGTCTTGCGTAAACAAGTATTTATAAATACTTGTACCTTCTTGATGATGGTTGTAGTAGTTCTACAAGTTTTAGCTCCACCCAATATAACTGTCGTGACGTTCGTATTGAAGATTCTGACTTTGATATTGGTTGACAGTTGTTTCGAGTTCTATATGTTCTTCGATTTTAGGAATTCTGTTCTTGCTTTTCCAATCTTCACTTTTGCGTCTGCATCTGATCCTCCTTATTCATGGATGATGCTACCGAAATACGTGAAGGCGGAGACTAATTTCTAGAGATAATGACATGAGTTCTAACGATAAGAAATAACTTTTGCGGTTTCAATCATGACTGGTGTCAGACAGATATTTACTTTAGGCAATGGAAGATGATCGTACAATATTGCAAATTTTTTGAAGTAGTCTAGAAATCATGTATTCACTTGGGAAATTGACAATCCTAAACTTGGATGAAACCACTGTTCACTGCTTTCAAGTATTTAATAGTGATCTACCTAAATTCACTCCATCAATTCAATCACAAAAATGTTATAATCTCCATATATACTATATATTAGTTTAAAACTGTCTCAAATTATAATGAACAGATCAATGGTACAACCTGATTTTCGAAAATCTAAACACTATAAACAGTTACCAATTAGATTAGATTGTTAACAAGATACCTCATATTTAATAGTTAAAGTTTTCTATTGTATATGTTCACTTTATAAACAAATAAGAAAACCAGTATGATAAATCATATTATAACATTCAGTCAATTGTACTACAGTGAATTTCACACAATCAATTGATCGTCAATAAATCCAAACCACCATTTAGATTTAAATTGATAAATAGGTTTTATGCATATTTTTTGATAAATTTAAAAAAGAAAAAAAATTCTATTTTCTTCAAATATATTATTAAAATAAAATGGTTAATTTGTATTACATTTTCTGCATTTATTATGTCACTAATACTTTGTTAGTTAAATAATTCAAAAATGTAGTAGAAGAAAGAAAACAAAAAAAAGAACTTCAATAATCGAGTGTACAAAAAGGAAATAATATTAATTTTATGTTGTTATATTTTTCGTAAGTTTTTTAACGCTTGTACATTTATTTGTGTGTTCACATTTACATATACAAATGTAAATGACCGATTCACAAAGTTTTTAGTTAGTCAACATAATTTACAGGTAACTACATATAGAAAAATGTTAAAGATATTGTAATTCAACTATTATTTTACCTAAAAGTAGAAAGAATTTATTGTCCCTTCTTTCCTTCTTTCTAGTTATGGTCTGTATTTTTTATTCTGATATTTCAGGATACGTCTGAAAATCATGAATTGATTTGTTTTTTTTTTCTATTTACAAAGCGTTATTATCTACATACATTATAGACAATTTGTTTAGATTATCTTTTGTGTGTATACACATTATTCCTTATTATATTCATTTTTAAAATACTTCTTAATAGAAACTATAGGAAAAGATGAAAAAGGTATAAGTAATAAGAATTTACTGTGAAATACACACTATTCATTCATCGAATCATTCTTATCATTTTCTTTTGTGTTGCCGCTCTTTTTTTTCTTGAGATTTCAAACATATTCCGTTTTGAATCAAAGAGATTTCTATAAATCAATAAATGAATTAAAAGTTTCATTACATATAGAATTGTAAATACGCTTTGTTAATGATTCTCAAACTAAAACGGTGACAACCAAACAATGATTCATGTTTTTATGTGATACGAGTTCACAATCGAAATTACTGTCAATATATTCTTGAAATCATCTCATCTGATAGGTAGTAGATAACATATTAAGATAGAGTTTTAAAAATACTCTACCAAGGAACAAACATTTATCAAAGCTTTAGAGATGGAATGGAAGAAATATCATTGTTTTTCCTTTCAGTATTAGAAGATAATCCCATATAAGTTACTTCTATTTTGAATATAGGAAACTATCTCTCCTTGCCTAATTTAATTTTATCTTTGCCTTTTCTTTATCTTTATCTGGGCATAATCCATGAGACTAAGCAACTCATGTCGTAGTGACATGTGCTTTATTTAATTTGAATACAAACTATGTTCGAAATGATTTACTAGAATGCTACCTATTTATAAACCAGTCGTCTTAGCATAACGCAGTCTAAATCTAAAAGGAAAGCAGAAAATAGACTATCATTGCGTCAGTAATACACATGCATCCATACAGGAAGACACCAAAAGGTGTTGTCCTACATAATGTCGTTGAAAAAGCTAAATTTTCTATTTGTCGTTGCAAATCTGACCCACTATCTCACGCATGATCACTAAAACTGTAAAATCTAGCAAAAAAATGTTCTTAAGAGATAGTTCTTTATTCTGTATACTTTTCACCACAGTTTCAGATAATTCAATGAAAATTCCACCATGAAACAGGTATTTTAGTGAAATGACATCACACTGTATGATTACAGTAATTGGTACCTGATATGTAAATAAACGTGATCTTTGTTATCAGTACAATTCTAGTTGATAGTTTAAAAGCATATGATTATTCAAGTTTAATATATCTATACTTATCTCCCTAGCAATTACTATATTTTATTATTACAAACAATTATAAGCTCGAAATATATGTCATACTTCAACAAAGTTAATTACCATTGTTAATTTAAAATGCAAATCTTTTAAAACAATAAGAGAAGTTTGTTTAACAAGAAGTACCTGGTGTTTATCTTCAACTATAACTATTAGTTAAAAGTTCAAGCAGAGATGGATGGTGGCTAGCAGTGAAATCCAAGACGCGATATTGGTTCTGTTTAAGGCTCATCAGCTGGATCGACCTGCATGTACGTATGCCAAAAGGTACCGATCATTTACATTCTTAAACGTTAATGGGAATATTTAAAAGACTAACGAACAAAATTCAACTAGTTATAGCTATTTAAAATTTTGATTCAACAGCCTGAAACGATAAGGGCAAAAAGAAAAAGTGATTACATCTATAATAGTAAGCTAGCACATACCAATTCCGACCACCAGACTCTAAAATTGAACTGAAATCGTTATTTGAAAAACGGATAAGTTTTTGTTATTATTACTGTGGAACGTTACACAGGTTTAATCATCAAATCAACATACTAGAAAGCATTTATAAATACATAAATTAAGCGGAAATGCAAATGAGCAACCTTTCCATAAATAAATATATATGCATACAAAGTGCTTAACAATGAAATATTTTTTCCCCTATTTCATGATAAATATATTTTGATTTCCTGTTAAAAGATTAGTATAAACATGTTAAAATAATCGAAATAAGACCCAGTTCAACTGAAGCTATTTATACAAAAATCTATGTAATATTTCTTATCTCGCAGGTGTATTATTACTTTATAACGACCTTACATAATGTTTTAACATTGTTTGACTGTGGGTACATGTTTTAAATGCACATACATCGACAAAAGAGTACATTTGGTTAAATTACTATTGATATTATTCAATGCATTAAAGGCTTTTTATTACTAATATCGAATGAAAAAGCTTTGAGCTACTTACAATATTTGAGTAGTACAAAATCTATATTATAACAAGAACATTTAAACTAGCCAACTGATACAAAAATCGTTTATGATGATACAAATTCGAACAAAATAGAAGAGCAAATAAAATAAATGTAGGCTTTTCTAATTGTATATGTATTTTTACAATCGGTTGAGTAGAAGGATGTCTGTCATAATCGAGCGTTTTGCTTATTTAGATAATATATCGAGACCATCAGAACCATGTGACACAATAGTACAATAAATTTCAAGGAATTCGACCTTAAAATAAAACATTTCCGTGAGAATTAAAGTCTGAATTAATTTTTAGGCTCAATTTAATGTGATTCGCATTATATTTCCGTACTAAATTTTCTTCCTTCTATGTCCTCATTTGTCTAGTTTAACCTTTTCCTTTTTCATACAACTATTAATGGAAGACGCTTATGGAGGTTGCTGAATTTTATGGTTCACATAACGAACTCACAGTAGTTAGACAACCACTGGAAACCTGTAAGCATTATATCAATTTGCATAGTCTCGCACTTGGGCTAATCAAGCTTAGGTTTGATAAAATTATTTGAAATTTATCGCGCTAATATATCACTTTATTACTTCCTTGAATTATTTAGAGGCAATACTCAGTGTATTTGTGCATTCTTTGGTTTTGTTAGTCAAATTATCTTTTCCAATCAATAACTAACCGAAACTAAAAAAAAACAATTACCCCGTATCTTCTGAGTTTAATTATTTCTTGAACTATTATCAGTTGTCAGTCAAAATTACATTCAGATTTATCATAATTAATTATATTTTATTTTGCATATCTCTTCACATTAGATTTATACAAAAAACAACTTATCATACACAAAAACACATTAATAGTGCACACATAAGGAAATGATCTATATTATATACATCCAAAAGTATAAAATAATTATTACTTACAAGCCTTTATATTAACTCTATAACAGATTTATATGTTCATACTTTAAAAGTAAACCATAGAGCATTTGAATTTAATCCATCTTAAACCAATTTTGATA